AAACTCTCTTCAGACAACCTAAAATGAGGGCAATTAACCAACATTAAATTAAATTGAATTAAATTAAATTAAAGTGATTTGTCTAGTTTTTAAAAGCAAATAGTAAACAGCAATAATCAGAGAAAGTTCCAAAAAATGAACACAATCAAGTACACAGGTATTGGAAATATTAAAGTTGACCGAACTGAGGACTCGGTTCTAAACCTCAGTCCTCCATTTCAAAACCAGTTTGTTTTCGCGAAAAATTCAATTCGCAAATTTAAGGCAACGTGATGCAAAGCCTAATTGTGGTGTGAAGCCTATAAAACCCTATAAAAATTTTAATTTTAGTTTCTTCAATGTAATTTGTGAAAATTTGTTCCACGATCTGATTCAAGACGACCGAATGGGAGCCCTTTTTGTACTGAAAAATCATTGAAATCAAGCATTTCTGTAATTTTGGAACTCGATCTTGGCTGCTTACAAATGGATTTTGTTCAAACTTGGTACATACATTGAACATTATGGGACCTTGATGCACAACATTGTTTTTGAGATCAGATTCAAAATGGCCAACTGGCTGCCATTTTGTTTTATGTAAATGTGCTTCTACGAAGTCCGAAAACGCGGACTTATAATTCGGTCTTTGGCATCCGTCCGGAGTCATATCTCAGAATCCCTTGGGCCGATTCCGTTCATTCTTTCATGTGCCTAGTACTTTATGTGGGACATATGCACATGCAGTGGTTTAGCGATTTGATTCAAAATGGACGACTGGCAGCCATCTTGTTTTTTTGAAAATGTCGTCTTTTGGACATGCTTTGTCAGTTTTCATTCAAACTTGGTACATAGATTATACATGTTAGGATACATGTCCATGACGATTTATTTCACAATTGGATCAAAGATGGTCGACTGGCAGGCATCTTGTTTTTTGAAAATGTCGTATTTTGGACATGCTTTGTCAGTTTTCATTCACATTTAGTACATCGATCATACATGTTAGGATACATGGCCCGACCATCCGTGAGTTCCTGAGTCTGTTCATCCGTCCGTTCGTTTTTTTTTGTGGTATCTTGGACGTGCTCTGTCAGTTTTCATTCAAATTTTGCACATACATGTACTTTATACATGTTAGGATGCATGTCCATGACAATTTGTTTCAAAATCTGGTCAAGGATGGCCGATTGACAGCCATCTGGCCTTACTACTATATTTCCACAATTTATGTACCATTTTCATTCGTATTTGGCACATACATCATACATATCAGTGTGTTTCATAATCAGATCAAAGATGGCCAATAACGGCTGTTTTTAGTCCCCGTTCGGACGCAGTCCGAAAACGGGGACTTATGTTTTGCCCTGTGTGCGTCCGTCCGTCCGTGTGTCCGTCCGTGCGTATCACCTGTATCTCGAACTGATG